TAGCCATTTAGTCCAAAATGACCTTTGCTATCTACAGCACTCAAGACAGATATAAAAATGCTGCCTTCTGGGCGCCTGTAGCTCAAGTAGCTGGGGTGCCAGCCACATACACTGGAACTGGCGGGTTCAAATCCAGCCTGGGCCTGCCAAACAATGACAACTACAACCAAAAAAAAAAAAGGGTGGCACCTGTGGCTCAAGGAAAGGAGTAGGGTGTTGGCCCCATATGCCAGAGGTGGTGGGTTCAAACCCAGCCCTGGCAAAAAAAAAAGGGGGGGGGGAGGGGCAGGGCCTGTGGCTCAGTGAGTAGAGCACCAGCCCCATATACCGAGGTTGGGGGGTTCCCCAGCCAAACTGCAACAAAAAATAGCCAGACATTGTGGAGGGCACCTGTAGTCCCAGCTACTCAGGAGGCTAAGGCAAGAGAATCACCTAAACCCAAGAGCTGGAGGTTGCTGCTGTGAGCTGTGATGTCATAGCACTCTACCCAGGGTGACAAAAAAAGACTCTGTCTCTAAAAAAAAAAAAAAAAAAAATAGCTGGGCTTTGTGGCAAGCACCTACTATAGTCCTAGCTACTTGGGAGGCTGAGACAAAAGAATTGCTTAAGCCCAAGAGTTGGAGATTGCTGTGAACTGTGACATCACAGCACTCTATCCAGGGCGACAGCTTAAGACTCTGTCTCAAAAAAAAAAAAAAAAAGCTGTCTCAGCTTGGCGCCTGTAGCTCAGTGGCTAGGGTGCCAGTCACATACACTGGAGCTGGCGGATTGGAACCCAGTCCGAGACTGCCAAACAATGACACAACTACAACCAAAAAATAGCTGGGCATTGTAGTGATCGCCTGTAGACCCAACTACTTGAGAGGCTGAGCCAAGAGACTCACTTAAGCCCAAGAGTTTGACGGCGCTGTGAGTTATGACGCCAGAGCAGTCTTCGAAGGGCAACATAGTGAAACTCTGTCTCAAAAAAATTAAATTAAAAATAAAAATGCTGCCTCATATGTTTAATTTTTCTATGTTCATAAATATTATTTTAAAATAGTAAAATAGGGTCAGCACTCGTAGCACAGTGGTTACACCAAAGTTGACAGGTTCAAACCCAGCCCAGGCCAGCTAAAACAACAATGACAACTCCAACAAAACATAGCCAGGCATTGTGGCAGGTGTTTATAGTCCCAGTTACTTGGGAGGCTGAGGCAAGAGAACTGCTTACACCCAAGGGTTGGAGTTGCTGTGAGCTATGACACCATGGAACTCTACCAAGGGTGACATAATGAGACTCTGACTCAAAAAAAATAAAAATTAAAAAATAAAATAAAATAGTAAAACAGGATCCAGGCATGGTGGCTCACACCTGTAATCCTAGCATTCTGGGAGGCCAAAGCAAGTGGACTGCCCTGAGCTCATGGGTTCCAGACAAGCCTGAGCAAGAGCAAGACCCCGTCTCAAAAAATACCCAAGCAGTGGTGGTGGGCGTCTGTAGTCCTAGCTACTCAGGAAGCAGAGGCAAGAGGATCGCTTAAGGTGGCGCCTGTGGTTCAAAGGAGTAGGGCGCCGACCCCATATGCCAGAGGTAGTGGGTTCAAACCCAGCCCTGGTGAAAAAAAATGCAAAAATTAATTAATTAATTAAAAAGATAAAAAAAAAAAAAAAAAAGAGGATCACTTAAGCCCAAGAGGTTGAAGTTGCTGTGAGCTATGACACCAAAGCACTCTACTGAGGGTGACATAGTGAGACTCTATCTCAAAAAATAAATAAATAGTAAAATAAAAACCTCAGCCGGTCTCAGTGGCTCACACCTGTAATCTCAGCACTCTGAGAGGCTGAAGTGGGTGTATTGCCTGAGCTCATGAGTTCAAGACCAGCCTGAGCAAGAGCAAGACCCTATCTCTAAAAAATCCAGGCACTGGATGGCACCTGTGGCTCAAGGAGTAGGGCGCTGGCCCCATATACCGGGGTGTTAGGTTCAAGCCCAGCCCCGGCCAAACTGCAAAATAAAGAAAGCAAGCAAGCTGGGCATTGTGATGGGTACCTGTAGTCCCAGCTACTTGGGAGGCTGAGGCAAGAGAATCGCTTGAGCTCAAGAGTCTGAGGATGCTGTGAACCTTTGATGCCACGGCACTCTACCAGAAGGTGATAAAGTGAGACTGTCTCAAAAAATAAAAAACCTCAGGGCGGCGCCTGTGGCTCAAAACAGTAGGGCGCCAGCTGGAGGTGGTAGGTTCAAACCCAGCCCCAGCCAAAAACTGCAAAAAAAAAAAAAACAACCTCATACTCTAAACAACTCTGTTGGGAGGCACCTGTGGCTCAAAGGGGTAGGGCGCCGGCCCCAAATGCTGGAGGTGGTGGGTTCAAACCCAGCCCTGGCCAAAAACTGCAATAAATAAATAAATAAATAAACAAACAACTGTTTACTTCCTTATCTAATCTTTGCTCCTATACACTCATATTTCACAGAATTGCAATCATACATTATATACAATTTTGTGTTTTGCTTTTTATTATTATATTTCCATTAAATTCTAAAGCGTTGATAAACAACTACTTGTTTAAACATTCTCTTCTTTGGACATTTTAGATAATTTCCAGTTGTTCAGCTACCTCCCCCTGGAATCCCCTCCATAGTCAATCACTCCCTCATCCCCTTCAGGTCATCATTTACCTGTAACTTTCTTTTTTTTTTTTTTTTT